CCCTAGCATCCTACATTTATTTATCAAAGTATGCTGCTCATCATTTACGAGTCCCGTATCACTCCAGATAGAGGTAAATTTCACGCATTTTGTGTTTAATTTTGTATTAATCATAAGGCATATATCACGTCAGACACAGAAAATTACGGAGTCAAAGACTTATGTTTGAACGCATGTGCAAAGTGACACGGAGCTCTATCAGCACACGAGAGCCCACCTCCTGAAGCTCAACATGCAACTTATTGACGCGAAGGTTCGGAAGCTGTTGGTAGGTTGCCATGTCACTATTATAAGTAGACTGATTTGTTCTCATATTGACTTCGGATGGAGAATATTTCACGCAATCTTCGACGACGGGGGCATCACAGAAAATATCAAATCTACCAACCGCAAAATGAAGGAAATTATTCATAGAACTGTCGTATGCGAAGTGATAACAGGTGCATTGATGTCTTCGAACTCAACTTCATTATGCATATGTGGATACGCCACGTTGAGTATCCCAATAGCGGCAGATACAAAAGGCCCCAAATCCGTCTTTACAAGGTCGCTGAAAAGGTCCTTGGACAACTCTTGAAAGCGTATGCATAGGTTTTGTAAAACACATGCCTTAGAAGGCAAATTGAATTTCCCGTTCAGTATATCTGCCGGTAACCCAAAAAGAACCGCCGGGACCTTCAACAAAGTCCCTGACTATATGCCATTCCAAGGACAATGAACACTATTCCGAAGGACCAATTTTCCTATAATAAGTATAATTACATATTGCAGTACTTATTTTACCTTTTACTTTTATAAGGCAGTTTTGAATGTCCGCTCCATTCGCGGGCTTTATATGAAGAAACATAAGTGTCAACTTGATTCCATGAGAAAGGGGTACCTCAGATGAAGGTATTAAACTGGGCCTTAAAGGGGTCGCGATTTAGGAATAACATAACTAGATAAGGATTTTAATGTAGAGGTTGCAGGAATGCAGTCGCCGTTTTTTGCGTATCTTGGCGTCTTGACATCGATACGGCACCTAATTAATATATTAATCTCGACGTGCAGATAAATGTCAAATAGATATATCCTTGGTATTAGGGATCAGTTTGCCCATCGATGTGATCAGCCCTAGGAGTGAGTTGCAACCTCACAGAGGCGGTAGAAGCTTACGACTCAAGAGAGCTAAAGGATCACACGCCCAACTTGACAGGGCAAAACGTAACTGCCAACCATATTCTTTTATTAGCTTTAGTTTACAATTCTCGCAGAACGATTATTCGAACTTTCACGGGTTATTTATTCCATTAAGAAGGAAAAGAATACTAAATATTTCACGCATATGGCATATACTGCAACAAAGCGGCATCAAGGATTCCGCGATGCACAAATAGCAATATTACTGAAGTACTATAAAACTAATTACACGAAAGGGTAACAACATCATTCAAGTGACTGTAGCTTAAAGGAGAAATCAAAATGTATAGCTTAAATGTACACTATCTCAAAATATTAGAGTATCAAGCTGAAAGAAATGGCGTCATTGTAAGTTAATTTAGAGTTCAAACTGATTCCATCTCGGTTTTGTTGGAATTACTGCAGTTGAACGCAATTATATGAAGGGTTTAAGGTTAGTTCCTTATAATTTGTCGACTTTGTCGCTGTAGCCTAACTGCATTGTTGTTGCGATTTTAGAGGCACTGTTTTTGTACTAAACGATGATTATTTTACGATGATTACAATTTTTTATTTTATAACTGTTGCGTTATCTGCAGTTTTACGTTGCAGAACGTAGTTTTGCCCACAGATTCAATACAGAACAAAAAACCCGACACATACGGAATTCTACTGCATTAG